GGTGTAAATGACCAGGATGACTGGGAACATCTTGGCATCTGGACTGAGTGATGACACAACCCCACTGTCACTTTTCCTTTGGCTTGTCCATCGTGGATTTCTGTCTCTGAGCAAAGGGTTTGGGCAAGGAAGAGGGGTCTGCGTTGGGTAAGACATCCGGAAAGGAAGCCAGGCAGAGGAGAAGCTCCGTGATAAAGATCTCCTGTTGTCTTCTCGATGGGGTTGGGAAAATTAAAAAAGCTCAAGTTACTTTCTTACAAGGGAATTCCAAGTAAAATTATTTCAAAATTTTGAAAAAGTGTCAGTGTCCCCCTTGCCAGTAGTCAAATGGTGTCATTATCTTCCTCCTTGTTCCCTGTTTCCATCCGTTGCGTTGGGTGGTTTAGATTGGGCCCAGGTCCTGCGGCTTGGCTCCAAGCAGGCTGATTTCTGCAGCCAAGAAGAGGGAGTTTTACGATTCGGGCTCTCGACTGCAAGTTTCTGGGTTAAAAAAATGCAGTCTGTGGCACCCAGCCCTGTGGGGCTCCAGTCCTGGCTGAGTTTGCTCGGGAAGCTTGCCATAGCCATTACCAGATCGGCGTGACTGGCGGGGATTAGATCTTGACGGAGCTCGCTGTGGTTTCGTGGACGTGGGTACCTCCCTCTGCGGGGTGATGGGTGCACAGAGGCTGTTCACGTGCCCAGAGATCACACAGTGACAGGCTGCAGAGACTTGGAGTAACTTGTGCTGCCCCACACGCCCGCAGCAAGGTGGGTCAGGAGGAAGGGGAACCGTAAATCCGCGTGTGACGGTGCGGACACCCCAAGCGTAGTCCAACCTCAGGGTGTCCCCTGTCTCCGTCAGGGTTTCTGTGCTGAGACCTTGTCATCATTTCCTGAAGATTTCTTCTTCCCAAGTATGGGATTCTTTCCAAATTAAGCATTCCTTTTCTTCCCTTGCTGTCCAAATCCATGCGGAAGCCACGTTGTTGAAGCCTGATTAGCGCGTGTTGCCCTTCAGCGACGCTGAGTAGGAAAGCAGAAGTACCCCTGGAGTGGAGCAGGCTCTGTGGGTAGAACTTTGCAACCAAGAGCTTGCTCAGGGTCTGCTCAGGTGCCTGAACTTTACAGGACTCGTGTTCTGCGCAGTCGTCGTGCGGCGTGGGTGTAGCGTCGGCCTGAAGCTCGCCGAGTCCCGCTCTGCTGCTGTGGGAAAGGTGCTGCAAAGGAGAACACAGGTTAACGCAGAAACTGGGTGCAATTACTGTTTCTGACTCATCCACCAATTCGCATTTCTTCAAATAGTCAGCTACAGATGGCAAAAATACCAGGGAGAGGGAAGACACGGTTCTGAGACGCTCCTCTCCGGAGCGGCCCGACTCCGCAAGCGCTCCGACTTCCCCGTGCCGCTGGCATAGAGATGCCGAAAATCCATCCCCGCGGTTCTGAAATATCCCGTTTCACATGGCACTGGCTCCTCCCTCCCCGAGCTGCTCCAAACACAGCCACTTTGTGAAGCTGGGTCACTTCAGAGCCACCAGAAGCTGTTTTCTGGGATGTGCTCCGTGTTGCTATGGCAGCAGCAGAGCACTTGGCACCCGTGCGGGTATCAACAGCAAAGCTTTAGAGCAAGGATCTGTTTGCAACAACATGTGCCAGCTCCACGACGGTTAATTCGGTCTTGATGGGAGAGAGCTGCATCACGAGTGATGACATCACGTAAGCCCTTTTGGGCTGCATCTGAGAGATCCAGGGACTTTTACAAATGAAAAGTTCCTTTTTGAAAAGCTCTGGCGACCAGGATTCTTACTGTTTGAGATTTGGGGTTTAATCTTGTAAACATTTAGTGATTCCATGCCCACCCCAAACACAGAAGTACGTCAGACTGTTAGACTGAAGGGGAAGCAAAGATGCAGAAGGTAAAGCCCTTTTTCAAAACCACCATATCTGAATTTTGGGATCCATCAGTTGCTTCTGTGCTCAGTCAGAAGCATTTGAGCCTGATTCTTTTTTCCTTTCTTTTCTCCTTTTCTGAGAACGCTGAGTGCACATCTCCGAGTGAAACGTACACTTAGCATATCTTAGGACCCACAAAGCAGCCAGGAGCCATCAGTGTCCGTGTCTGGTCTGATTTACCTGCAGAAAGGCCCCCCAGAAAAGGCAGCAGGAGAATCAGAAGTCTGTCTCGACTCTTGAAGTTTAGCTCATCAGTAAGCGTTGCAGAGAGCATGATGCTGCTTGTCCCAACACAAGAAGGACATGGAGCTGCTGGAGCGGGGCCAGAGGAGGCCACGGAGATGATCCGAGGGCTGGAGCACCTCTGCTATGGAGACAGGCTGGGAGAGTTGGGGCTGTTCAGCCTGGAGAAGAGAAGGCTCCGGGGAGACCTTCCAGCAGCTTCCAGTGCCTGAAGGGGCTACAGGAAAGCTGGAGAGGGGCTTTGGACAAGGGTGTGTAGTGACAGGACACGGGGCAATGGATTTAAACTGGAAGAGGGGAGATTTCCATGAGATCTAAGGGAGAAATTCTTCCCTCTGAGGGTGGTGAGGCACTGGCACAGGTTGCCCAGAGAAGCTGTGGCTGCCCCATCCCTGGCAGTGTTCCAGGCCAGGTTGGATGGGGCTTTGAGCAACCTGGTGTAGTGGAGGGTGTCCCTGCCCATGGCAGGGGGGTTGGAGCTGGATGATCTTTGAGGTTCCTTCCAACCCAAACCATTCTGTGGTTCTGTGATTCCTGAGCCTCTGGATGAATCAGCGTCAGGTGTCCAGCTCCCTGTTCCTAGTCTGTCCATTCTTACATGGGAATAACAAAATAAACGCTCGTGTCATCATTAAGTTAGTCATAACCACAAGGATTTATTACACTGCCCGATGCACAAGTGCAGCAGGAGAAGTGCCTGCTGTGGCGTGGCTGTGACACGTCCCGGCGTGCCTCGGCGCCCGGACCCTTCCTTCTCCGGCCGTGCTCTCGGGTGCTGCCTCATCGCTGCAGCCCATGGGTGACGGTTCTGCTCCCAGTTTTCTGTAGTTTGTGTCTTCCAGAGGAGCTTTAACCAAAGGCTCAGCAGCGATTTTTGATCGTTAATTTGGCTCGCTCTCCGAAGCTGGTGAGATGACCTTGCCAAGGAATCAGCGGGGAATTGTTGGAGCGGAGCGAGCTGGCTCGGTGAAACCTCCAGCAGCCTGGCACGGTGCCACCCGGGCTATTTATAGCCTTGTAAGAAGAGTCAGCGCTGAGGAGAGCTCCTGATTTGAGTGCCAGCTGACTGGCACGCTGACCTGGAGCAGAGTTACTGCCCGGGAGCTGCAGGGCTCCGATGGGCAGAGCTCCATTTCCTCAACCATTCCGCACTCGTTCCTCGTCCCCTTTTCCCAGCCACCTGCAATCTCTGCGTGCCCCGCTCAGTAAGTGCCACAGGGGCTGTGTAGGGCACTTGTGCTGGTTTGTGAGGACTTTGGTTTCCATCCTCTGCCCACGACGAGTGAAGCCTGTTGTTGCTGTGCCGTTCCTCACTTCTGGGTGCGATGGGCTCTGCTCGATGATAAAGGGGTGCAGCAATTCGGCTGGCACTGCTCTGCTGGCAGAGCACGAGCCTTCCAGCCTGTGCCAGACCCACCTTGTACAAAATGAGCCTCGGCTCGTCTTTCTAACGACAGACCTCGAGTCAGGGAGGCTAAAACACAGCTCTGAATCCCTCACCCTTCTCCTGCTGCCCGTTCTCTGCTTTTCGGTCCCTGTGAACAGCGTCTCTAGCTGACCGGTCGCCCAGGACCGGTAAATAGAGGGGCTTTTTACAAGGGGGTGTAGTTGATAGGACAAGGGGCAATGGCTTTAAACTGGAAGAGGGGAGATTTAGATTAGAGATAAGGAAGAAATTCTTCCCTCTGAGGGGGGGGAGACACTGGCACAGGTGGCCCAGAGAAGCTGTGGCTGCCCCATCCCTGGCAGTGTTCAAGGCCAGGTTGGATGGGGCTTTGAGCAACCTGGTGTAGTGGAGGGTGTCCCTGCCCATGGCAGGTGGGTTGGAACTGGATGGTCTTTGAGGTCCCTTCCAACCCAAACCATTCTGTGATTCTCCAATCTCTTCCTACGGCCAGAACCTCTGTCCAGACGCTCGTTGTCTCGCTCTTGCTGGCAGCTGCATCCTTCCCTCTGCCCTTGAGGACCGTGATCTCGCCCTGCCCGTAGCTTTGCAGAACGCTGCTGCCAAGCTGGTTTCCCCGGCCGCAGCCGCTAACGCTCGCTGTGCCACCCTCCAGCGGCTCTGCTTTCCGTACCGCACCGCATCTGTGCACCGCTGCCTTTTAAAGCCGCTCTCGGGCTGTCCCTCCTGTCTGTCCGCCCGTTTTATTGCTGGAAGTCTGTTCCCAGCCCTCAGCAGCTCGTGGTGCCAGCCTTCCTTGCTCCGTCGGAATATTTGGTGCGTTTAGGGATTTGGAAGTGAATTTTTAGCAAGATTTAAAAAAAAAAAAATCAAAATAAAAAGTGACTCTCCTCCAAACAAGAATTAGAAACGCACAAAGTCCAAACCCTTCTATGTAGGATGTTATTTTGGGCAATTTTTAAACTCGTGTTTAGGTGCAAAATTGAATATTACTGCGTTTCAGGCTTGCGGCTCGTAGAGTGAGTGTATATATATACATATATATATATAATATAACGTAATTTCAGGCAGCGCTGGAATAGTGCTGTCCTGCCTGCTTCAGAGAAAACAGATGTTTGCACATCAGGACAGGGGGCTGTTTGTTCACCGAGCTGTCGGCTCTCGGGTTCACATCTAAGTAAAACCTCAGCCGTTTGGTCTGCCTCCAAATCTGCTGGAATAAACACAGACCCTGCGACAGGCTGAGTGCAGCGGGCTGCTGGCAGTCAGGTTGTAGAGGGGTAGATGTTTCTGCTTGTAGGGTACGATACTTTGGGAAAAACAAGGCACTTCCTGCGTGGAAGCGATGTTCATAGATCTGTGCAGAAGTCATGGGGGAGCAGAGTGGCTGACTTACTGGCTCTTGTCTCTTTTGCAGCTGGTGTATCCTCACGACTTCAGGCTAACAGAGAAAGAGGTAATTCTGGTTTTCCTGCCCTGGTTTTAAAGATCCTGAGCAGCGGTGATGGAGATTTTCTTACTGTGTGTTTTTATTTGTTACAGAAAACCAGCATCTGCTACTTGTCCTTCCCAGACTCCTACTCAGGTAGGTGGCATCTGCTGGCCTTGCCTGCAGCCTGCAGGATGGTTCCTTGCTGTTAGGGAAGGAGGTTCATGATGGGCCTCTAGTGTGGCGGGGCTGATGGGCTGTATCTTCTAGAACTGTGACAGCAAGGAGCACCCAGCCCTTGGGTCTGAACAAAGAGGCTTCTTGTCGTTTTGATTGCTCTCTAGATACAGAGTCTGCATTCTAGTGGGTGACAGGACGATTTCTTGATAAGCTTGCACACTCATGCTTCACCCGTGCCAGTAAAATATAAAAAAATAAAGTCAGGAAGGGTGGGCTCCCTGAGGTTGCCGCTGTCGACTGCCAGCATTTCTGTGTTTGTGAGTGAAGCGCTCAGTGAGGAGGAGTAGGTGGGCAGAGGATGCTTTCGCAGCAGAAATATCCCCAAAGCTTGGATTGGTAAATCAGAAAGGTGGCAAAAATAAACAAGCACGGTAATCCATCCCAGTACCTGTTTCTTTAAGGCTGGTTCCTGACTGTTAGTTTTCTACAGCTTTGCCCAGTTTAGTTGGAAATGTTTTGAAGGATGTACTTCCACTAGTTTCTCAGAGCTTAGTGAACACTCAGGCTAAATGACCCTTTCGTTAAAGTGACAGTGATATCTTCACAACGCGCAGTCAGCAGTCTTCATAGCAACAGCCTGTGCTCTCCTCCAGAGCACAGTATCTGCAGACGTCGTCTCACCCCGGGGTAGCGCCTTAGTCTGCTCAGCTGTGGTTTTTGTTCAGTGAGCTCAGTGTGTTTAACTCTTTCCTCATAACAGACCTCTTTGTATGTACTCAGCCCCAGTCCTTCTGCCCGTCCAGCGATGAAAACTCACGGAATCCCAGAATGGTTTGGGTTGGAAGGGACCTCAAAGATCATCCAGTCCCAACCCCCCTGCCATGGGCAGGGACACCCTCCACTACACCAGGTTGCCCAAAGCCCCATCCAACCTGGCCTTGAACACTGCCAGGGATGGGGCAGCCACAGCTTCTCTGGGCAACCTGTGCCAGTGCCTCCCCACCCTCAGAGGGAAGAATTTCTTCCTTAGATCTCATGGAAATCTCCCCTCTTTCAGTTTAAAGCCATTGCCCCGTGTCCTGTCACTCCACGCCCTTGTCCAAAGCCCCTCTCCAGCTTTCTTGTTTAGCTTAAGGATTCCAGTTCTTGTCTTCAGGTATGGATTCTTCCTGTCTTGCACTGGTTTTTGGGTTTTCTTTGTGCTGTTACTCTCCATTTTGACTTTTGGAGTTCCTTGTAAATCAGCATCCTTGTTTATGTCAGCAGTTCAGATTAACCAATTTCCAGCTGTCTCTTTACTGAAGCTTCTTCCTGAGCGTTTGCCGTCTCCTCTGTCTCAGGTGGCCTGGGGGACACTCAGTTCAGCTTCCGCCTGCGTCAGTCCGGGGGACAGAGGACCACTCATTACGAGGATGAGGGCGAGTACAACAGAGAAGCACCCCTAACGCTGCAGGTCAGTGGCTTGCCAGTGCACTGCTTGCACCTGCGGAGCGAGCGGTACTGCTGTTGGGTTAAAATGCTTTTGGCGTGGTTTCTACACGTAAAATCCTCGTTTTCCTCTGGCCGTGGGAATTGCCAGAAAAGGAGAAAGCTTTTGGCACAGGGACTCACTTCCACGTTAATATTCACAGAGGGCAGTGCTGAGAATGTCAGCTACTCTGGGAGATGGAGCTGGCTCAAGGGGGACCCCAGATGAGAGCAGGGACCTGTCTGCTGCAGGGAAAAGATGAACGGTGGCACACGGGTGACGTCCGACAGAGTGCATGGGTGACATCTGACAGAGTGCATGGGTGACATCTGACAGAGTGCATGGGTGACATCTGACAGAGTGCATGGCCGCCTGTGCGCGTCACCGGGAGGCAAGGCAAGAGCATCCCGGTCTGTGGCAGATGAGGTGCTCACCTCGTCTGTCGAGGGATGAAGGTTCTTTTGGTTTACTGCAGGATGTGTGTATGTAAAAACAGCTGGAACACTTGGCATGCTGCAGATCCACGCTTTGGCTTGCTCTGTGTGGGGTGGTTTCACCATGGCCAAGCACTCGTGTCAGGAGGGTCCCTGAGTTGTGGTTTTTCCATCGGTGAACTGTCCGTTTCACGCAGAGAAGGGATGCGCTGAGCACTGTTGGTTCTTTTAACTGAGCAGATGGCCATCAGATCAACTTGTCCTCTTCTGCCTTCTCCTTTGGGATGATGCTTCCTGCGCGTGTGCCTTTTTAACACTTCTGCAGTCCTTTTGTGATATGCGATCCAGAAATGGATGGCTGGTCTGAGGGGGAGTAGGAGGATTTCTTTTCCTAAATTCTGGTCTAGAGATTTTTCAGCTTGCATACATTTTTACTGCTTTGCAGCAATCGCTTGGAAAGGAAAGGCTGAGGGAGCTGGGTCTCTTTAGCTTGGAGAAGAGGAGACTGAGGGGGGACCTCATTCATGTTTATAAATACAGAAAGGGTGACTGCCATGAGGATGGAGCCAGGCTCTTCTCAGTGGCATCCAACGATAGGAGAAGGGGAAATGGATCTCAGCTGGAACATAGGAGGTTCCGCTTAAACATGAGGAAGAACTTCTTCCCAGTAAGGGGAGCAGAGCACTGGAACAGGCTGCCCAGAGAGGTTGTGGCGTCTCCTTCTCTGGAGATGTTTCAAACCCGCCTGGACGCGTTCTGGTGGGATCTGATCTAGGTGGTCCTGCTCCGGCAGGGGGACTGGACTGGATGATCCTTTGAGGTCCCTTCCAGTCCCTGACATTCTGGGATTCTGTGGTAGGACGACACTGCCTCACAGATTCACCTGGCTTTAAAGAAGTAAGGGAGGTAAAACTGCCAAAGTACTGGATTCCGTTGTGGAAAAATAGTATTTGGGAAGGGAAAGGTGCCTTAAACCGTGGGGTCTGTGGGGCTTCAAAAAACGGTATTAAGAATGGTCTTTGTTTGGCACTGACAATTGTCCTTCTTCCTCGGTATCCCTGGGACCTTAGAAGGCATAGAACTCATCTCAGAAGGTGATGTGTTCCCTCCTCAACAGTGCATTGTCCTCTAGCTGGCAAAGAAAGCTGACAGTCAGAGCACACCAGTGGCAGCACCGAGTGCCAGGATGAGCTCAGGGGGTTGGCTCAGCCCGTCCTGTTAGTGGAAACCTCAATTAACCCTTTAGATGACGGCCCAAAGGTGCTGCGGAAAGGTGCTACCTGGAGGCTGTCATTAGTTGTTTGTATCCCCTCTCTATCTTCCCATTTGGTACGCTCTCCCAGATAGCTGAGCGTGGACAGCTTTGGGAAATAGGAGGGAGTGGTGCAGTGGTGTCATGGCAGGAGGGGGGGTGTTGTTTGGGCAGTGGCTGGGGGCAGTTTGGTGGGAGCAGTGGGGGTCCCTGGCTAACTAACGGCGCTGTCGGTCTCTCGCAGCGGGAGTCAGCTCACTACTTCGGCTACGTGTACTTCAGGCAAGTCAAGGACAGCTCGGTGAAGAGGGGTTATTTTCAGAAGGTGAGTGCTGACACCAGATAGCTGGCTGCTCTCCGCTGGTACGGAGCTGTGCAAAGGCACCTCTCCGTAGCCGTGAAACAGCACCGCTTCCTACGTGACACCCACGGCGTTTCTGCAGGAAACAGCGAAGGTCACGGAGAACGGGAATATGTAGAAAGTGTAATTTCTAACAACCCTGGGTGCGGTTGCCATGGTGTGGTAATCACATGAGCAGTGACCCGCTGTCTGAGCCACGAGACCCTGAAGTGCTTGGACATTTGCTTCAGTGCCCGTGTCGCAGCAGCAAGAGGATAGATGTCGTTAGTGCGGGCTATGCTGGTTATCCCTTAACCCTACTCCCATTATTGCTTGGGTCTTTCTTCTTCCTAGTAGCCATCTGGGAATGGATTTCCTCCTGGGCTGCTTCTAACTAGCAGCAGTGGCACTGCTGGTACCTCACCAGCCTTGTCTCTTACCATGAATTCCTTTGACACAGACACTGGAAGAAATAATATAAACGGCGTGTTTATTTCAGCATAAATATGCAAAGTGCTTTGTGTTGTTCAGGCAGATAATTATGGTCACTGCCTGGAAGAGAGTGAAATTTCAGACTTCTAGAGAAAGAAAACATTTTACTTTGATCCTAAGATCCGTTTTTCTCCGTAGCTCCATGGAATTACTCTTTCAGTAGTGTTTTTTTCGTGTCGAAAGATAAAACGCCATCCTCTTGCACAGATCAGCTTTGAACATCTGTTCAAAATGCTGCGTAGCGGATCGGTCTGGTCACTCGCTGGGGGATGGGGACACCATTCCGTCCCAGCAGTTCCTTGGCCCGCTGTGCTTGCTCTCCTCCACCTCTCGGCAGTGACATGGAGTTTCTCTCAAAGACACATGCCGATACAGAAATTACTTTCATCTCCACTAAAGCAGCGGATTGATCCACTGAGCAACCTGGTGTAGTGGAGGGTGTCCCTGCCCATGGCAGGGGGGGTGGAACTGGATGATCTTTGAGGTCCCTCCCCACCCAAACCATTCCATGATTCTATGATCACTCAACAATTGGAGGATTAGAGAACCTGGACAACACGGGGACCTGCTGAATTTTTTTTTCTGAACAGATGTTTGCACCGAGCTGATGTGCTAGCTCTTTGGTAGACTTACAAAAGTAGTGGGCACGTTGAATTCCTCAGTCAAGTATATTGTCAAGCTTGGATGGCTTTTTTTTTGCTTTCAAATGGCAAAGTTTTGCATTGGAAAGGAGGTGTTTAAATGACTGTTGCAGAATTTTTCACTGGATCCTTCTTAATGTATTAATTAATGATTAGAGGAAGAGAATAATCAGCATGAAAACCCTCAGTGGGGCTGAGTTGGAGAAGTTGTAAAAAATAGTGATATATTTCACAAAGAAGCATTAGAAAGAAGCCAGAACAGTAACAAAAAAAAGGCATTGCTGGAAACAAATTAGCATTACTTCAAATTACTTTGATTCTTCTTTCCCAGAATTCCTTTATTTCGTTTATCTACCTAATTTCAGTTTCAATGGTCCGCTCCTTTGCAGAGAAATGGTTGCTTTGCTAGCTTCGAACCTATCAGCAATTTATTTTTTTTCCTCCAGATGATCTTTTGCCAGGTCACAAACTCATCCCTCTTAGTTGCAGTGGTAGAAGCTGCCAGCTGTGCTTATCGATTAAACCAAAACCTCCTTGCCTGTGTGGATACCCAGGGTCTCCCAAAGCCTGAAGGCTCAACATCGAGGTAGCTGGCAAGAATTCCACCAGTAAAAATGCTGCTTTTCATCTCTTGCATGTTCTTGATGTTGTTTTTTTTTAAGTATAGCCCTCCAGAAAGCTGTGTAAGTACAAGCAGTGCTCGAAATTATCATGTCAGAGGGTCTCTGACTCCTGAATGTGCCTTTTTTCTCAGTCTTTGGTGCTGGTGTCACGCCTCCCATACGTGAACTTGTTCCAGTCGTTGCTGCAGCTGATTGCTCCGGAATACTTTGACAAGCTGGAGCCATGCCTGGAGGCAGGTGAGCAATCAGATCTAGGAGGGAGGGTTTGCATATTGAAATCTTTCAGAGATTTTATCAAGAGGTTCCTGAAAGACAGCTGCAATGTTCCAGATTAGTTCATTCTGGAACAAATTGCAGCAGGGAAAAACTTTCATCCAAGTGGTTGGCTTGTCAAAATTATAAACAGCTGTGAAGGATGCAATAATGGGACGTGCCTGACAACCTGAATAGATGATGCTGTCAGTTCTGCGTACGATGTATTCCCAGAGAGAGGAAAAAACTGCTAATGCTACATCTCTGTCGAGGTCTTTATTGCACTACCCAGCTTAAACATGATTGATCAGCAGTGCAGTGCTGCTGGGCCTGCGCTGCCAACGGTGGTGCAGCCGTAAGCCTGACCTAAACTTGCACAATTCTTTGCTGGAGTGTTTGTTTGCAGCTAGCCGGGGGAACACGGGAACTAGCCATGAGTGATAATTAAATGGGCAGGACTCGCAGGACCAGCTGGATCAGCTGTGTTGACCTTCACGTCAAACTGTTTTCTCTTCCCGTGTCCCTGCAGTGTGCAATGAGATTGACCAGTGGCCGCCTCCGGTGCCGGGACAGACTCTGAACCTTCCAGTGATGGGAATTGTCATGCAGGTACTCGTGCTCGGCAGCGGGCTGAGGCAAACTGGGAAGCGGAACGTGTATTCCCTTTTCTTCCGGATGTTAAAATTGCTGTTTGCTCTGGATTCTTTCCCTTTTTTCCTAACCTGGGTAATTGAGGAAGCTTTCTGACGTGGGTGGTTGTTAGGGAAGAAAGCAAAGTGTCTGTGCGTGCTGACTGATTCCATCTCCCTGCATCATCTGCCTGTTCTTGTTTGTGCTCTAGGTGAGAATCCCGTCAAGGGTGGATAAACCCGGATCAAGCCCAGTGAAGCAGTTCAACCAAGAGGTGAGATGAAGTGTGGCGTGACACAAGCCACTGATGAGCAGAATCTGGACTGCTAAGGAAGGAGGGTGGAGAAGAACTGGGACTCTTTCAGCCTTATCCTATTTGAAACCACTTTGGCGTGGGATTGATGTGGTTTCGGCTACCCATCTGGTTGAAACTGCACCCTCTTGTGCCTGTGTCTGTCAGAACAGGACCGTGCTCAGAACTTGTGTGCTGCAGGTTGTGTCTGTGCATTGTTCTCACAGTTCTTGTTCCCCTTGCCTTTCCTGGGAATTCGTGCACAGGCGGGTCTCCACGAGACCCTGCCGTAGTCTTCTGTGGTGTTTTGCGGCGTTTGCTGTCTCGCATCTTCGCTGCTTCTTTTCAGCTTTGACTTTGATTCGTGTTCATTTGATCTTTTCCCTTTTTCTCTCTGTTGAATAATGTCATATTTCACAACTTTTGGTACCTGTATCACCAGCTCTTACTGTCTCTGTGTCTTAAGCTCTGCCTTGCACCAGAGGAAACTCAGAAAATAAGGAGCAGACACAGGAAGTCTTTCACATCTTGAAAAGAAGGGATTCTTTGCTATCTTCTAGCAAAGGAAATTCATTTGGATCTTGAATGCTCAATCCAGACCTGTTCCTGGCTCATACCTCCAACCATTTACCTCATTCTCTTCTTTTTATGCTTTTTGTAGAGGGAGCTGCTTTATGACTTGCCCAGAGAAGTTGTAGATGCCCCATCCCTGGCAGTGTTCAAGGCCAGGTTGGATGGAGCTTTGGGCAACCTGGTGTAGTGGAGGGTGTCCCTGCCCATGGCAGGGGGGTTGGAACTGGATGATCTTTGAGGTCCCTTCCAACCCAGCCCAAACCATTCCATGATTCTATGATTCTATGATTGATTGGTCAGTTTAGATGGCATTTCAGTCAGAGTGCTTCCATTTACTAACAGTTTTTGGTTTGTTTGTTTTCTTTCCTTCCTCATTTAGAATCTGTTACCAGCCCCACTGGTTCTCCCCAGTATTCATGAACTGGATCTTTTCAGGTGAGAGCCACCGTCCCTGCAAACCTCTCCACCTACTTTCCCCTCTCCCTGCTCGGAGCATTCTACAAGTCATAGGTATAATGAAGATGTCAAATGAGAAATCAAAAATTGCTGCTTTGCAGAGTGTTGTTTAGAGTACTGGGCTGGCAGAGCTGCTGCGGTTTGACCCTGTGTGCACTGCCAGCCTGCATCCTGGTTAGAGGAGGGTTTCTTTTCTTGACCTCAGACCTAGACAGGTGATCCCTTTAAGCTCTGAAACATACACGTTGTGTGTCTGAACCAAACTTTTCCACATTATAGGTGCTGTCCTAATAGACATACATCTGCTGTGACCCACATGCATTTTACTTTGCTTAGGGGAAGAGACACACTGGGAGCAGTACGATCAGCAGGTCGCTTGACGTTGCTGAAAGTGGTTCCTTTAAACTTGTATTAAATGGTTGAGCAACAGCATGTGTGAAGACATGTGGCATTCTGCTGTGGGATACTAAAAATCAATCCTAGACTTCAAATCCCCAGGTGGAAGCACATCTGGATCGGCTTATGTGCAATAATTGTGTCTGGTCCTTTCTGAACTGCATTTCTGACCTCAGCTGGTCATTCTTCCTCTCGCTAACAGATGTTTCCAGCCGGTGCTAATCCACATCCAGATGTTGTGGGAGCTGATGTTATTAGGAGAGCCAATAGTTGTAATGGCACCGTCCCCCACGGTTTCTTCAGAGATGGTTCTGGCACTTACCAGGTAACACCTTCACATTCTGAGAGACGGGTAACTAATCAAGTGTGGCAGTTTTTCTCTTTCAGATCCACTCTTCCGCTGAGTCAATTGTTTTAGATTTAGTTTGCCTGTGAAAACATGTAAGACAAATAGTATAGCAAGAGAGTCTTCCTCATACTCCACCAACGGCAGAGAAGAGTAAAAATGGATCTCCCGCGTTGGGAGACCCGATGGTTCATAGCCCTGAGGAACTTTGTCTCCCCAGCTTTGAACTCCACTTTAGCAAAAAAAACCCACAACCTGGAACTCCTCCAGCGTGTTGCCTCTGGCAGGACAAAACACTGCTCTGGGACATAAACCTGATGTAAACACGTGTTCCTCCTCCGTGAGGTGCCCATGGCAGCTTTCTGTCTGTTGTTACAGCTGCCTGGCTCCCCTGCGGTACTGCTGCGACTACCGTCCCTACTTCACCATCCACGACAGCGAGTTCAAAGAGTACACCACCCGCACACAGGCGCCGTGAGTAGCCAGCACACCCCTTCCACCCGTCTGCGTGAGGGAAACCCTGCGGGCAGCGTCCTTCTGCTTCTTGTTCTTCCCCTCTCTCCAGGCCAAACATTGCTGTGGGAGTCACAAACCCCTTCTTCATCAAAACCCTCCAGCACTGGCCGCACATTCTTCGGGTTGGGGAGCTCAGGATGTCAGGTGAGGGTGGAACCGAGGTCCTGGTGTGCTGTAGATCTTTTCAGAGGCGGATACGGAGCTGGCAGGTGCAGCAGTAGCCCTCGGTTTATGCATCCTTGGTCCTGAGAGAGCTGGGAACCCACAGGGAAGCGTAGGCTCTGCCTTGGTTGATGTGCAGGATGGGTGCAAACAGAGCTTCACAGTGGTGAAGACAAACTGTGGAGAGGCTGACTTGCGGTGGGTTTTTTCTGGAGCATTAAGAAAAGGAGAAAGCCTTCCTGGGCAGGAAAGAGAAGGGAGACGTGGAGAGACTCTGATTATCATCTATGAAGCCAAGAAAACCTCTGGAGTTGAGGAGCTGGGTTTTTTGGAGTGCCTCCTTAACACACACCTGTTCCCCAATTTTAACAGGGAAGTCAGCAGGCGAGAAGGCTTGTGTCAGGGTGGAGTTGAGGATGTGATTGAAGATGTACAAGTGGAAGATGGGTGTTCTCGAGTGCCAGGTCTCTCACGTGCGTGCTGTGGCTGCGAGGGCAGGTCCAGAGCCTGAACGAGTCACTTGATGTTTTCCCACAGGAGACCTGCCCAAGCAAGTGAAGGTGAAGAAGCTGGCTAAACTGAAAACTCTGGACACAAAACCAGGTGAGTCCTTTTGTCAGACAGAGTTTAACTTTCCCCTCTTCACGTGGGGGGTTTCGCAGGCTTTGCAGGCACCATATGATAGTGCCTCCTCCAGATACGTGGGCAAAGATTTGTTTCTAACTTCTGGTTTTTTCCTGGTTTTGTTTTTTTTTTTTTTTCAATCTAGGAATCTATACTTCTTATAAAACTTTTCTTCACAAAGACAAAACCCTAATAAAAAGACTACTAAAGGTGAGCACTTCCCACTCTGTCCTACATCCTGTATGTCATTATGGGAAAACTGTGCTAACAGCCTGCTTTAAACAGACAAACCTCTCCCAAAGGAACAGACTTTCTACAGTGTGTAATGATTTGGTCTGGTGTACTTGGACGTGTTTATCACGCCAGCTTTTAAATTTTTCACTTGATATCACAGATTAAATGCTGGTGCTAACGATAACCTAAGTGACAGCAATCCTTATTAAAAAAAAAAAGTCTGGAAAAACAGATTCTGCGTAGTGAAACGTGAGCGATATCGTTAACCAGAGAGTGGGATACGTATTTTGGGTGGTCTGGTTTTCCAGACTGGTTGCTTTTAACCAAAGTATTTGAAAATTCTGTAACTATCTGCATGATGCAGAGTAGCACCTTTGTGGCTGCCTGTGCTTGCAGGGCATCCAGCGGAAACGCCCCTCGGAAGTCCAGAGTGCCCTCCTGAGGCGTCACCTCCTGGAGCTCACCCAGAGTTTCATTATCCCCCTGGTGAGTGGAGCAGACTGTCCGAGTGGTGTGCAGGGCAGAGGAGGTGAGCAGGAGGTGCTCGAGTGGCAAGTTGGCACGTGCCCTCTTTTATTCACCCGTAGCCGGGCATTTGTGGTAGATGCAGGATGTAGCACTCATTCAGGATGTAGAGATGTTTCACTCCATGGAAAGGAACTAAATGTTCCAGTACCTAAAGGGGGCTACAGGAAAGC